CCTCGCTGCCGCATGCCATGACTGCCCAGGAGCGCCTGGACCTGCCTGCTGCCGCACTGAATGTGTGGTGGCCAAGGTAAGGCTACTGGGGCACATGGTTGGGGCACATGGTTGGGGTCGCGGCATTAGGAGGGTTGAGAACCACTGGGTTAGGCCCAAGAAGTTTTCTTCTCTCCAGGCATTCTTGGGGTTAAATTGGGTAGATGTTAAGTGAATATAAGTTTTCAATGCTGGCCTATGGGATTTCAATCTTGTGATGAAGTGTATTCAAAGAATCTTCTTGAATCCAGGACTTACTGCATGGACCATGCAAGGGAATGTTGGTTTATTTAATCCTTCCAGGAAACAGAGGGAAGGATATGGTTCCAAATACACAAATTTGCATAGACTAATACACCATGACTTTCTTAAATGATATTTCTTTTTGGTTTTATTTAATAGTGTGAAAAAATATTTACAATTTTTAGATAATGAAAATTATATTCTGGAATGATATAGCACTTAACCAGAAGATAGAATGTTGTAGAATATTCATAGAAATCCAGTTTGTGTATTTCAGATATGGATGTCTGCAGTCAATGTCCAGATGATCATTATCCAAACCCTCCCCAGAATTCATGCATTCCAAAAAAGAAAACCTACTTGTCATATGGAGAACCCTTGGGCAGCACTTTGGCCAGTTTTGCTCTTTGTGCTACTTGTCTGTCTGTGTTTATCCTGGGCATCTATTTTAAATACCATGACACTCCCATCGTCAAAGCCAACAACCGGAACCTGACTTATGTGCTCCTCAGTTCACTCTTCTTCTGCTTCCTCTCTGCTCTTCTCTTCATTGGCCACCCAGAGAAGCTGACTTGTTTCATTCGACAAACTGCATTTGGCATGATTTTCTCAATAGCAGTTTCTTGCATCTTGGCCAAAAGCATTGTAGTAGTTCTAGCATTTACTGCTATCAAGCCAGGGTCCAGGATGAAAAAATGGGTGGGCAAAGGATTGGCCAATTTCATCCTTCTTTCCTCCTCAATGATTCAAGTTATCATTTGTACTGTGTGGCTGGTCATCTTTCCCCCATTTCCAGATGTTGACATGCATTCAATGGCAGCAGAAATTATTGAAGAATGTAATGAAGGTTCAGCATTCATGTTTTACTGTGTCTTGGGCTTTATGGGTTTCCTGGCCATTGTCAACTTTGTAGTGGCTTTTTTGGCCAGGAGATTGCCTGACACATTTAATGAAGCCAAGTTTATTACCTTCAGCATGTTGCTATTTTGCAGTGTTTGGATGGCTTTTGTTCCAACTTACCTAAGTACCAAAGGGAAGTACATGGTGACTGTAGAAATCTTCTCCATTTTGGCCTCCAGTTTTGGGATACTGAGTTGCATCTTTTTCCCCAAATGCTACATCATTTTGCTGAAGCCAAATCTGAATACGAGGCAGCAGTTAACAAGAAAAAATAAAATCTGAACAATGTAGCTGAAATACTGTAAATTTATTAACAAAAAACCTGCAGGAAAACGGGTCTGAAGATTTCACTTTGATGTATAGGTTTCTCTGGTTTTATCTCTTATACAGTATGTGCTATTTCAACTGTTGATGCCTCTATGTAAAAGCTGACTCTTCATTTTTAGTGTTCTTTCTTGTCAGCATTTTTTGTACATGTAACCTAAAAACAAATTCTTCTAGGAGGCATTGCTATCTTGTCTGTGCAAGAAAAAAAAGATAAGATAACCTTTTAATGGTGTTAAAAAGTATGACACATCAGCTATTTTATATGCTTAATGAGGAAAATTTAAATTCTCAAATTCTGATTCCAGAACTTTTAAAGAAATTCTGACATTCTTTATTAAAAATTGTGTGTGTCTCTCTCTGTGTGTGTATGTGTGTGTGTGTGAGAGAGAGAGAGAGGGAGGGAGGGAGAGGGAGGGAGAGAGAGAGAGAGAGTATAATCTCTCTTTAGTGTAGAGATTATTTTAAGTGTGTGAGTATTTAATTTAGATCTTTATTGAAATTTATAAATAAAATTATGACACTTCAACCTCACTTTCTTTAGCCTCTTTTAGTGGTACAAACTTTTGATTATTCCTTCTATTTTTGGGAAGCTGCTCATCACTTCAAATGACAAAGAGCGAATACCTGCATGTTCCTTTGCTCATTTAACAGAAATAATTAGGTTGGTTTAGATTATCAACTGTGATGTTATATGGCTCCCTCACTGAGCAAACATTGTGTTTCAGGAGCATTTACATTTATACAGGAACTGCCATAAATCCATTAATCCTGATTTTCATTATTCCCCATCCCACTGAAACACAACACAGTCACACAGAGACAGATAAATGTAGATGCCTTTCACATGCATATTTTTCTCTTTATTTTACAACTGAGAACTCCTTGTGAGTCCATCCAAAGCATGCAGTGTGGACAATGTCTACAGAATTCAAATATATATATATATATATATATATATATATATATATATATAATCAGTCCTGAGAACAACCGACTTTTGTATGGATCTCTATTTAGTCTCTCCAAATATTCTTCTGTGTTATAAAATTGGTGCTTGAAATGACATATCTTCCTGATCATGCAATTATCTTGTAACCTGGTTTAGAAAGTGTTTAATTTTCTTTTTTATAAAAGCCCCCCCTCTCTCTCTCTCCCTCTCCCTCTCTTTCTCCCCCCCCCCTTTGGTTTAAAAACTACGTACATTTTTTCTGTCCTACAAAATTTAATTCAAATCCAGGGAACATGATCACATATTTTCAAAGTCTCAAAGAAACACTGTCACTGATTGCTAGTGATAATAGCTATATTTTCCCCATGCAATTATGAAATTAGCTATGTTGACTTCTCGGTTCCTTGGAGGATTATTAGATCTATTGGAAAAACAACAAGCCAATATTAAAATGTGTTTACTGATCATTGAAAGCTAGAGATTAAATCTATAATTCTTCCTCAGTTGGATGACACATAATTTACAGAGAACAGTCATGACTTCAGTTCTCACAGTTAGCAACCACTCAGGTTGAACAATGCTATACGGAGACCTCCTAGTCTCTGACTTTGTTTTCTAGTCAGAAGAGTTGCATGGAAGATGTAGCCCTGGTGTTGTTGGTATTCATGCTACTTCCATTGGCAGTGTGCAAGATTCCTAACTTTAGATGCAATGTTAGTGAGCCTCTTCCTATTCATCATAAGTATTATAAGTCTGGAGATCTCATAATGGCTGTAATTATTTCTCATACTTATCGGTTTTCAAATCCTACTTCGTATAAAAAGCGTCCTTCATCTGCACTCTTTGGTGACTTTGTGTAAGACATTTGATTTTCTTAATCCTGCTGCATGTGCTTTCCAGTTATATTCTACATCTGTTGCTGTGTGTTGGGAAGGGTGAGATTTTGTTGATGCAGGTTTGTTTAGTTGTTCAGTAGAAAAAAAATGAGATTTCTTTTTCTTTTTTAAGAATGGAAGCAGACTCACTGTGATTCAGGGCCATATTTCTGCCTTATACTCTAAGTATTTAAAGTTATGAGTGTTTCTTTTCAACATCATAATTATTTCCTTGTCCTTCCAAATTTCCATTCTGGGACATTTTGAAGGGAAGCAATTAGGAATTCTTTCTTCTGAGATGGATCTACAAATTACAATTTTCTGCTACCATACTACTGGATAATAAATATCTTTGAATTTTTAAGAGAATGTTTTAGCAAGAGTAGAAAGAAGCATGTACACACATTCTAATTTAATTTACATGTCAGTGTTGTAAACTGAATTAAGGACTTGTTTGCGAGACTAATTCTCTCATCCTAATCTTTGTGTGCTCCATGTAAATGATCTAAAAATCTTCTACAGTGGTTGAAGAATGGAGATATTACATGGAGAAACTATTTTAAATTTGCCCTATTATCTGTAATATTTCCAATGTTAATTTGGATGTTCTGCACAACTTGAAGAATGGGAAAGGAATAAGTAACAAGGAAAAGTTCAAGGTAGCATCTTAAATACAATATTCTCAGTCTTAATCTGGGTGACTTTCATTTATTTGAGGGTAATAAAGGGAGAAAATGATCCATCCACCATGATAGCCATGAATCCTGTAGGTGTTATTCTTTTTCCTCTAAAAAGAAGTCAGGCAATAAGGAAATCAAAAATTCACAGAGAGTTTCCTAGAAGAAACCAGAGTAGTTTTGTAACTTTTCACAAAATTATGGTCATGGTATTAAACATTGCAGTCACATTTGAACTCACTTAACACTTCAACACAATAATGTGTTCCTTTGCCAAAGCTCTGTATTTTTATCTTTTCTTAATCACAGTCCAAAAAATGTGATTGAAAATAGGACTTAAAATGATTGCTCTGCCTATTTTCAGTGTTCAGCAAATCACTGAAATCTGAAATGTATGGAGGTCACCATAATAAGAACGTGAGAGGCACTGATTTATTAGCTCAATCAATGAGATTTTGTGACCATTTCAACTTTGAGCACCATATTGAAGAAGTTAGGTATACCTCTCTGAAAAATTTCTGTTCCTAAAATCATTAACTTCGTTCAACGTTTTGGAGTGCTATGAAATCATGCAAAACAGTCTTCCAAAAAAAGGATTATAGAAAGTTCTACTGAAGTCCCCAGAAGTACTTGGGCTCTCCAGGTTCACTAGAAACTAGAGAAAGAGCTTCAAAAATGAAAGCATACAAAACTATTCTAACAAAAAACACCAAGAGATATTTGGAAAATAATTTCACACGTTTTGTCTTTTAATGTGGTTGAAGCATATTAGCATTCTGAAAAAAACTCTTTAGAGAAGTCATAAGGACAAAGATCAAGCAATTTAATTTCAAATAAGAGATCATTTTTAAGCTATTGATTTTTCTCATTGTAGAGTCATGAAGCAGAACTACCAACATATCTTGACTTTGGAATTTGCTTTAAAGAAGATCAATGACAACACCCAACTCTTACCTAACATCACTCTGGGTTTCCATATCTACAATAATGATTTCAGTGCCAGTGTAATTTATCTTGCTTCTATGGAACTTCTGTCCACAAAAGACAAATTCTTTCCAAATTACAAATGTGATGCTCAAAATAATCTGGTAGCAGTCATTGGGGGACCTAACTCTGATGTCTGTCTCAACATGGCAACAATTCTCTGCATGTACAAGATCCCACAGGTAGGCAATGTGAATATACCTTAAGAACTTAAAAAGGGAGAGCACCATCTCTAAAATTTGAGGCATTTTTCTGACCAAGTTATGGAACAAAGTGAACAAAATAGATAAAAATCCAAAGACTTAACTTAAATAGAACTCTTCATTCTGGGAAAGAATTTATGAATTCCATTTTGAGCTGTCTGTTTATTTCTTCATTGAGGTAGATCATGTCATGTGAAGAGGAAATATACAAGATTTGATAGCCACCTTCATGTAAATAAATTCATACAATTGATATGGGGGAGAAGAAACTCTTGCCTTACATAAGAAAATGGTAAAAATTGATGCATTAGGATTTTTTTGCAATTTGAAACCCAGATCCAGAAAAAATTGAATTGTGAACAATTACAGAAGAATGAAAAATAGAACAAAAGAATTTATTCATCAGCATCAGCAACATATATGGACAACACCCATACTTGAGGTTTTTTTTGTTTGTTTTGGAAACATCTTTTCCAATATTCTCTTTTCATTTAGCTCACATATGGCTCTGCTCTATTGATGGAGAAACAGACTGAAGGAGTTTTTTTTCAGCAGATGTTCCCAAGTGTGGCACTCCAATATGAGGGTATTCTAAGGTTATTGCTATATTTCAACTGGAGATGGGTTGGAGTGGTTTATCTGAATGATGTTAATGGAGAGAGATTTGTCCAGGAAGTGCTCCCTACATTCTCCAAAAGAGGCATCTGCTTTGACATCATACAAAGATTCCCTCAGCTAACTTTTTCTGTATTTGCTGATCAAATGGTGAAGGAAGGTTTTGAAACATTCTTGGGTATCATGAAAAGCTCTGCAAATGTATTGATTGTACATGGTGAAATCCAGACCATCATTATTTTGAGAATGGTACTTCATTTCTCGGAATTTGAGAATATACCAATGGTAACTAAGGTCTGGATTATGACAGCTCAAATGGATTTCACATCAATTCCCTTTCAAAATGATTGGAATTTAGATTTCATCCATGGTGCTGTGTCACTTGCAATGCACAAAAAGGAACTGTCTGGCTTCCAGAACTTTGTCCATGACCAAAATCCTAAAGGGAAAAGAGAAGATGGTTTCATTAAAGCTTTTTGGGAACAAGCTTTTAATTGTGTGTTCCCTGTTTCTCTGGCAGACCAAGAAGAAAGCACAATCTGCACTGGGGAAGAAAAATTAGACTCTCTTCCTGCATCTGTTTTTGAAACAAGCCTGACTGCTCACAGCTACAGCATCCACAATGCTATCCATGCTGTGGCTCATGCTCTGCATGTTATGCATTCAACCAAGTCCATGTTAAGATCAAGAAGAAATGGGGGGATATGGAAGCTTCTGAATAAGTCAATGTGGCAGGTAATGGACTTCCAAGCTGAGATACAATATGCATACTTGTTCAGCACATTTGTAAGTGGATATCTAGGTTAGTGGTTATAACCTGTCATCACAGGGGGTTTACAAAGGCTTGAAGAAATGTTATTATTTAATCCTTCAGTTCAATCTTGAAGATCTGTGACCATGGTCCATGGCCACAAAAGATATTTAAAGGGTGTCAGTGGTGAAGAAAGGTGGATCTAGATCATTTAGGTTAGTGGTTCTCAACCTTTTTAATGCCGTGACCCCCAACCGGTCGTAAGTCGAGGACTACTCAACCGGTCATAAGTCGAGGACTACTCAACCGGTCATAAGTCGAGGACTACTCAACTGGTGCAGCACCGTTTGCAGAATGGGACTTTTGGTGGGCTCAGCAGGGCAGAGACAGCCTGGTCAATTCCTATTGGCTTTTGAAAACCAATAGAATTAGACTCTATTCAAGAGAGTCTATTCTATTGGCTTTCAAAAGCCAATAGAATAAAAGCGAGTACCACAGCTAAGGAAAAGGGGGAAAAAACGGTGGACTGCGTTGTTTGGCGACCCCCGTGAAATGGTCATTCGATCCCAAATGGGGTCCCGACCCACAGGTTGAGAACCACTGATTTAGGTGATTTATTATCTTTTTTAAACACATATTAGCATTTCTTTAACTCCATAAATATTTTCTGATTTCAGTTGCACCATTACTTGAGAAGTGTTTCATTTAACAACTCTGCTGGTAAAAAGGTTTCTTTTGATGAAAATGGTTCATTAATTGCAGGATTTGACATTGTAAATTGGGTCACTTTCCCAAACCAATCCTTTCAGAAAGTAAAAATTGGTGAAATAGAACCATCAGCTTGTTCTTTAAAAATGTTAAACATTTATGGAGATGATATTGAATGGCCACGTAGATTCAACCAGGTAAGGACTTAATTTATATTGCAATAACTTAAGTGATTTTCTGATGTTAAAAAAAAAGTTCATTCCATGTATTCTGTGAAATAATTTGCCTGTAGTTGAATAATTCTTTGAATTTATATTAATTTATTTATTTACTCCCTCTAAATATTTCAAGATTCTTCTTTCACTCATTTTAGCCTCCAAATATACAGAGTTTATTGTTTGATTTGGGGTCCAAAACATGTCTAGGGCCACATTCCTAAATGACTTTACTTGTCTTATCTTAACCAAGTTCACATCACAATAGCTGGGGATGCATGATATGTGAAATCTTTAGGAATACTTTATCAACACAATGGCAAAAATATGGACAAATCACATTAGGGCAGCTACTACAAATAGTCCTCAACTTAATGACTATTGCTTAATGACTATTTTAAGTTGGAAAAGACTTCATAAAGCTGTTTATGACACATCCTTGAAGTTACAACTGCTGCCTTGACCCTTAGTCACATGTTCACATTTCAGGAGCTTGGCAACCAGGTTGCAGAAGCCTGAAGTCATGTGACTACAATTTACAACTTTTTCCCCATTATCTGGCAAAAATGGTAAAAAAAACTCCCATTGGATATGCCATGTTCATTAATAACCATGTTGTTCGCTTAACCATCATATGATTCTCATAACTATCATGGTGAATTGCTTTATGATCATTATAAAAATGTTAGTGACAGCAAGTCTGATTACATGGTGACATGCTTAATGACCACAAAGACTCACAACCAAAATTCTGTACTCAATTGTGGTCATAAATCACAGGCTACCTGTAGCTTGTTCTCTCCACCTATCATATAAGGGGAAAAATAGATCTAATAACTATTAAAAATATAAAATGAAAAAGCTAAGCAGAAGTTACTTGAGATGTTGGGCATACCAGTAGTTGCCACAGCTAACATCATATTTGTAAAACAGTGTAATTACTATATATTAGTCCCCAAATGCTTTTGAAAAGTGGTACTTTTTTGTCAGCTATTTGTCAGCTCATTGCATAATTGTAAATCACTTACCCTTTCCATTTTTGTCAGCTCATTTCATAATTGTAAATCACTTACCCTTTCCATTTTTGAACAGACATGCCCCCTTTCTCTCTGTAATGACAAATGTCATGGAGGCACCAGTAAGACAAAGATAGAAGGGAAGCCAAACTGTTGCTACAATTGCCTTCCATGTCCTGAAGGGAAAATTTCAAACCAGACAGGTAAGAGATACGATACAGAGATGTTTTCAAAATATTGGTTGTGACCTTCAATCCCACAAATTCAAAATTTACAGGTGATTTTCTTTCCCAATGTCTAAGTGAAATTGTATATAAATCTACAAAATTTCAGTGGAAATCTATGTACATTTCTAAATCATTCTAGAATTTTTTGCTAATGCTTTCTTTTCCAGATATGGATGACTGTATCCAGTGTCCAGAGGATAAATATCCAAACTATGACCAAGATGCATGTCTTCCAAAAGATATAAGCTTCTTATCTTATGAAGAATCTTTAGGGATCAGTTTGGCCATATTTGCTCTTTCCTTCTCTTTCATTACAGCTGTGGTGCTTAAAATCTTCCTCAAGCACCAGAATACTCCCATTGTGAAGGCCAATAACCGGAACCTTACCTATACTCTCCTTGTGTCTCTCTTCCTGTGCTTCCTTTGTACTTTGCTATTCATTGGGCGACCTGAGAAGATACCATGCTTCTTCCGCCAAACAGCTTTTGGAATCATCTTTACAGTGGCGGTTTCTTGTGTATTAGCCAAAACCATCATTGTGGTTCTGTCCTTCATGGCCACCAAGCCAGGATCCCAAATGAGAAAATGGGTGGGGAAAGGACTAGCAACCTCCATTGTTCTTGCTAGCTCTTTTATTCAAGCCTCTATTTGTACTGTGTGGTTGGTGACCTCACCTCCATTCCCAGATTTTGATATTCACTCAATAACTGAAAAAATTATTCTGGAATGTAATGAAGGTTCTGCTATCATGTTTTATTGTGTATTGGCTTTTATGGGTATTTTGGCTGTTATCTGTTTTACTCTTGCTTTCCTGGCCAGAAAATTGCCTAACAGTTTTAATGAAGCCAAGTTTATCACTTTCAGCATGTTGTTATTTTGTGCTGTTTGGTTGTCCTTTGTTCCAACCTATTTATGCACCAAGGGGAAGTACATGGTAGCTGTGGAGATCTTCTCCATCTTGGCCTCTGGTGCTGGTTTATTGATCTGTATCTTTTCTCCCAAATGCTATATAATTGTTTTAAGGCCTGAGTTAAATAGCAAGCAACATCTGATGAGACGAAAGAATTAAAAAAAATATTACTTGTCTACATGAAAGAGGCTATAATTTATTTTAATTTTAAGAAACTGGGCTTAATTACAATAACATGCTCCATTTGCACAAACACTATCTGATTAAAATTAATCACATATTGATTGGAAGAACAACTTTTTATAACTTCTTTACTGGGATTTTGTAGAAATCTTATAATAAAACCCAATGATTGTAAAAATATTTGCAGATGTTCTAATTCTTTTAGCTCCAAATACAAAATGAAATGTAATGAGTATTTCATGGAAAATGAGTTTTTTCAGTTCTAGTAATATACTGCAAATTGTTAAATGTATAGTGCTTTAAAGTGAGGATGGAAGGCCAATATAGTGTAGTGGTTAAAAGCACTAGAAAAGAAATAGGAAGTCTATGAATTGTAGTCCTGCTGTAAGTACAAAACTTACTGAGTGACTTTAGGGAAGTCACTCCTTCTCAATCAAAGGAAGGAGACAAAAGAAAGCCACTTCAAAAAAAATTACATTTTTTTATTGACTTGTCCATATAATTGCTGGGAATCAAGACTAACTCAAAGGCACACACACACACACACACACACACACACACACACACACACACAGTTAAAGATGCTGAGCTTGTCAGATTGAAGACCTAAGCAACTATATGAGCTCCTGTTACTTGCCCCAGTTCCTGCTCACTTAGCAGTTTGAAAGCATGAAAATGTGAGTAGATAAATAGGTATTCTTCAGTGGGAAAGTAGCAGCATTCTGTGTGCTTTGGCATATAGTTATGCTCAGTGCTTTTTTTCTAAAAAAAAAAAAAGGTGCCAGAACTCACACATGTCATACAACCTGCCTTGCCTACCCTACAAGGTTCCATCCAAAAAAGGTGCTGGAACTCCGTTCTGGGTGTTCTATGAGAAAAAAAAAGCCCTGGTTATGCTAGTCACATAACTACATAACATGGAAAATGCCTTTGGACAATGCTGGCTCTCTCAGCTGAGAAATGGAGATGAGCACCACCCCCTACACACATCATTCTTAAGCTAAAGACTATATCAGACATTTTTTGCCCTCAAAGATGTATATTTCTTGACCATATTCACAGTGTCTTTATTCAAATCATACAGAATCTGAAAAAGGCACTGTGAATCACAAAAAAACTCCTCTTTGAACAAAGAATTATTTCCTTAGTTTATGACCTTGCTATCCAGTAGCCTAGTAGGACCTTGGTCCAAATAAAGCTTTATAGACCTAGTGTCCTTTCATGTTCTCCAGTACAACTGAGAACCCTTCATAATCATATGAAGAATTGAGCAGCAGGCAGGGGAATCAAAACAAACCTTGGGAGAAGGGACCTTTCCTTTCAAACCCTCCTTTCAATCACCAGGAAAATAGTGTACTGATAGCAACAAAAGAAGATAGACAAAAAGAGTTCCTTAAAAGGGGTTCTTACAAAATGGAATACTTCTGAAAACTGCATCCTGCCTACTTATGCAACATCAGAGCACTCCATTCTGGTTGATCCCACAACTCTGTCTATATCCTTTCACTGCTTTGGCCAATCCAGCAGGTTTTTACACAAGGTGTATCTGAGTAGAAAATCTTTAATGCTAGCATTGCATCATAAGGTATCCTGGCATTCTAATCTTGTTAACACTTCAGGAGAACTCAAGGACATAGAACAGATACATTTATGTATCACCGGGTGCTGGGTGGGCATGGCCCACTGGTAGGGGAATGGCCCACTGGGTGGGCGTGGCTATGGTGGTCATGGCAGACTTAGTGGGCATGGCCAGGGTGGGCGGGGCCAGCTCGATGTTGCTCCTGGGGAGAGATGCCTGTGGGGGCTGGGAAGGTTTGGGGGAGATCCAGGGGGTTTCTGGTGGGTGGGGGACTGGTCAGGAGGGCATCTTGCTCAGCTGATGGCTTGGGGCAGCTACACCCCCTCCCAAATGCTGCCGTCTCATGAAAGCAGAATGAAAACACCAAAAAGTGACAAGGAAAAAAAATTAAAACAGAAGAGTGTCTTGCAATGGTTTTCTTCCCTGTGGGGGATGGGGGGAGGCTCCTGAGCCCTGCAGCTCTTCCGAGGGGGGAGGAGGAGAGTAGGGAGGGGCTGTGCTGGTATCAGGGCTCCTTGTGCCTTCCGCTGCCCACCTGAACTCTCACTCCCCTCTGGCCTCCATCCGCCCGAGGTACATGATATTTTAAACACAGTCTTCAATAGTACAACAAATACAGTCCCGTTTCATGGTGAATTTCAGAGTATAATAAATTTAAGGTTTTTATTGCACCTCATGGAATTTAGTAATGTGAATTATAATACAAAAGTCTGGGTGATGACAGCAGATGTAGATTTTTCCTCAGTCATCTTTCAAAGGAGTTGGAAAGTTGATTTCATTCATGGAACTCTTTCCCTTTCAGTACAATCAATTGCGGCATTAGGATTCCAAAATTTTGTTCAAAGGAGAAACTCGGCTTTAACAGAATTCTGGCAACAGACATTTAATTGCATGCTCCCAACTTCCTATACAGAGGAAGAGGTTGAGACTATTTGCAGTGGGGAAGAGAAACTGGAAACTCTCCCTATGTCTGTATTTGAAACCAGCATGACTGCCCACAGCTACAGAGTCTACAATGCTGTCTGTGCAATTGCACATGCTTTGCATGTTTTATACTCTTTCCTAGACCAGCAAAGGGCAGTGAGGACGCAAAAAGCCCTCAGTCAAGATTCATGGAAGGTGAGTAGACTACTTAGAACATCTCAGCAGATATAGTTCATTGATTAAGATGCAGAATTGTCTATCAGCCTTTTCATCCTTAAGCTTATTTGGTATATTTTCATATCTTAGAAACTTCCATTCTTTGTGACCTTTGGCTGATCTAGCTGCATATTTTGCCACTGTTAGCTACAATGCATTTGGAACCACCTGTTCTGTGTTCTATACTTTGTGGTTGGTTTTCTACATGATAAGATAAAAATGTATTGTTTTCTAATTCTAGAGTTATGTCAACGTTCATTTCATATGTTCAGAAAATTTGATTGCATTTCTTAAATATCTCATGGAATATCTCAAGGTCCCTTCCAGTGCTGTTCTGTTCTGTTCTGTTCTGTTCTGTTCTGTTCTGTTCTGTTCTGTTCTATTCTATTCTATTTGATTCGATTCGATTCGATTCTATTCTATTAATGTAAGAAATAAAATAGAATCTCTGAGGAGGAACTATAACTGGAAGGAAATAAAAAGTTATATTTCAATCATTTATGGCCACTCCAAAACACATTACCTAATTATCCAGTCAGATTTGGGAACTTATGTAATTAAAAATGATAGGTACATATAAGGGATCATTAATAAGTTCTTCAGATGGAATTCTTTTGAAGGTGATCAGATTAGACATCATGTAGATCAGAGAAATAACACCACCAATGATGAGATCACCTGAATGGTAAGCTTGTATTTAGCAGTAGGATTGTCAATGGTGCATTCATTATTATCCAAATTCTTGTGTCACTTAACAATATATTTTTTATTTGTGGGGTTCATTTTTATATTATACATCTATAGTGATTTATTAGAAACAATTAAAATTACATATCTTTCTTTTGTCCTGAAAAAAAATGTAATGTAATTTTAGCTTAGCAAAGAAAATCTAGCAATTGCTATAGTATAGAGACCATGATTTATCATTTAGATACCATATTTTCCAGCATATAAGATGACTGGGCGTATAAGACAACCCCCAACTTTTCCAGTTAAAATATAGAGTTTGGGCTATACTCACCGTATAAGACTACCCCTCTTCCAACACACACCAAATAAAAATTAAAAAACATCAGATTTGATTTTAATATGGTAATTTTAATTCAAATGCTTATGACATGCAGGTACTTAGCAGGAAAACTGTCACTTATAAACATAAGGCTGTTTGTCATCAAACATGTAAACATAAAACAGTGCAAGTGGATTAAACTTTTCCTAATTCACTCTAAAGCTGAAACGAAGGATAAGACAATAAACTCATGGGAGCTGCCATGCTGTTTGTTTTCTAAGCTGTCAACCAAACTGGAACGGATGATGATAGGAGGAAGATAACAAACAATAGAGAGAGTAAATGCCGGGCAAGTCCCTGGCGAGTCAGCAATGCCCATCATAACTGCAAGCTATTTTTACAGGTTTTGCTGGTGTGACAGTTTCCCTTTAAAAGCCTTCACAATCATCCTGTTCGTCATTTGATATCGTAAGTACATCAATGATATCTTGTGATACATTTGTAAGGCGGTCATCGTATGGATCGAATTCCGTATCAGATGGTGTGGTCTCAGCTTCGGCTTCCTCTTCATCTTGCCATAAGTAGTCGTCCTCCATACCATCTAATGAATCTGATATGCCACACTTCTTGAAAGACTTGATTACTGTTTCTGCATCAATATCATTCCAGGCTTTTATGACAAACTTGCACAAAACATCCAACTGTGGAGCACGCATGTTTCCTCCTTTTGTGAATGACTTTTCGCCGCTAACCATCCATTCATTCCACTGTTTTCGAATGCAATCTTTAAATGGCTTGTTTAGGCACACATCCAGTGGCTGTACCAACAATGTCAATCCTGCAGGAATAACTGCTGCATTTGTGTTTATTCTTGCAAGCCTTTGCTTGGTGCTGGGAGTTAAATGAGCCCTGAACATATCTCACACCAGTAGCCTACATTTTTGAATAAGTCCACCTGGTCGCCTGCTCCATACATTATCAAGCCATAGCTTTACCCCTCCTTCATCCATCCAGCCTTTTTCATTCACATGTACAAAACAACCAACAGGGAACTTGAGTTTCAGCATTGTTTTTCTTTTAAAAATAATCATTGGTCTCAGTTTGGCACCATCAGCTATGCATATTAGTACCACTGTAAAACTGGACTTCTCATGCCCTGTTGTTTTAATTAAAAATGTTTTTTCACCTTTTTGATGGACAATTTCCAACCATATCAAAATTCATTGGAGTTTCATCCATATTTCCAAT